CAGAACAGGAAACGCTGACAGATAGACAAGGAAAAGGGGGCATCGGGGAAACACCGACAGGCGGAACAAAAGGATCAGGAGCGAACCCAGGAGACACAAAGGGACGAGGAGCAGAAACAGGAGGGACGAAGGAACTAGCAGCAGACAGGGGAGACCGACGGGGAACAAAGGGGAGCCCGAGGGAGCCGCGACGGGCGGCGGCCGGAGGGGCCACAGGCGACCGGGAGGAGGGAGCAGGAGGGGACCACGATGGGAGACAGGACGAAGGACAGATGGAGGAGCCAAGGAGGGAGTCGGAGGGGGCACCAGGGGAGATGTGGAGGCAGTCGGAGGCGAGCCTAACGTAGGAAAGGAGGGAGGGGAAGCCGCGACAGGCGGCGGCAGAGAAGAGGAGTCATTAGTGAGGTGCCCGAGGGGTCCCATTCGAGTTCCTCCTCCTCCAAGGAGGAAGGAGCGCTAGTCGGACAGTCTGGGACCTCATCGGGGAGTAGGACCAGGGCTGGGGGAACTGGAGCAGGGTCCGGGACAGGCAGGGACTGGGCCGGGGCAGCAAGTGAGGGCAGTGTATGGACCACAGGTGCAGGTAGAGCCGGAACAGCAGGCGTCGCTGCGGGCGAAGCGGGCGGTGCCACGGCAACCGGCCACACTCGGCCAGCAGGGGGCACTGACGAGATGGACAGGGTATCAAAAGAGACAGGCAGGACGGGCAAGACAAACAGGATGGGCAAGACATCAGGCGGTGCCGCGAGCGTGGCGGCAGCAGCCGGCAGTAGATCGAGTGCCTCAGCCAGCGTGTCCAGGGGAGGTGCTTCCCGGAGAGGCTTGGTCCCTTTAAGGGATCGCAGGACCTGCGGGATAGCGTCCAAAACGGCCCTGATCCCCACATATTGCAGGTGGCCACCCTGAAATACGGAGGCTGATGGTGACGGTGGTTGCGTGGCTGTGGTGATCTCTGGGATCTGCTGAATTAGGTTCCTCCTGACATTCAGCGGGGAGAGGCGCTTCGGAGAGAAAACACGCCCCCAAGAAGATCGTCGGGGCTTCTTCTCCTTTTCCCTTCTTTTTCTCCGGCCGGGGCAGGTTGGTGGAGGCGGGGTTGCCTCTGAGAAGGCGAGCGGCTGGAGTCGCCTCTCCGTCACTCTTGCGTGCATTTCTGTGCGTGGGGTGACCTCTTGTAGGAGGGTCCAACTCTATTCGGCTACGTCTAATAAGCCGGGGCCCTCTCGCCAGTACCTCACCTCATGCAGTAGGACAAGCCATGGGTCTTCTGCCTGCTGCAGTGAGTCGTTCCCGAGATCTGTCATTCTGTTACGTTGATGGATCAGGCGGGCAGGCACGTAGGCGAGTTGAGCTGAACAGACAGGCAAACGGGGATTTATTAGGCTGGTGAAGGGCAGACATCCACAAACATTACATTACACCACAATGACAGATCTGGAGAATACTGACTTAGACGCGGACTAAATATACAAGACAGGCTGAACTTAACAAGCAGCAGGTGATTACAATGAGATATGAACACGAGGTAATGAGGGGGCGTGGCACACACGAGGATCGTACGAGCCGGGCGTGACACAGTAGGTATGGTGTTCTTTTCTTTTAACTTAATTTTTCCTTCTGTTAACATGGAGCTGATGTGACTGGCCAAAAAGCTGCAGTTTTGTCTCATCAGTCCAGAGGACATTCTTCCAGAAACTTGTCAACATGCATTTTGCGAAATTCCACTCTGGCTTTTTAATGTTTTTCTGTCAATAGTGGAGCCCTCCTGAGTCGTCTTCTATGGAGCCCATTATTGTTCAAAATGCAACAGATGGTGCAATAAGAAAGTGATGTATTTTGACCTTGAATGGTTTTGGATGGTTTCCTTGGCTCTTTTTCTGTCATCCGCACTATCCTTCTGATGAACCTGGGGTTGCATTTCCTCTTGCGTCCATATCCTAGGAGATTGGCTACAGTCCCACAAACCTTGTTCTTTTCAATAATATTGGTAACTGAGGTCACAGGAACGTTTAAGTATAAGTACAACTGAGGTCACAATGATAAATATTCTCTTTAGGGCTACCAACAAATCTGTCTATAGTATTTCAGCACGTCTTTGTACAATAAACAACAAATCATTTCCTTTCACAATTTTATTGGTTTACTCTCACATTCAGCTATACATTACATAATTGCTTTTAATTGAATCACTTTTCAGGGGAAATGAAACATGGTTTCAATGAGCTGTAAGGGCACCAACAAATTTATCCACATCTGTATATACATACACACATATGGCACACCTGGCCAGTTCCAATGGCACACTGGTTGAAAAATGCTGACATATTCAATGATCATATATGACATAATTAAACAGTGGGCATTTAACCTGTCTGTCTTTGAATGGCAGGATATAACCAGATTACACAGAGAAAAACCATACACCAGGAGTGCCCAACTCCAGTTCTGGAGGGCCAGAGCCCTGTGTAGCTTAGTTCTTTCCCTGTTCCACCATAAATGTTTCAGCTCAAGAGATGTGTGGTAATTAGCACAAGGAGTTGAATCAGGTGTGTTAAATGAGGGGAAACCCAAAAATGTGCAGGGCTCTGGCCCTCCAGGACTGTAGTTGGGCACCCCTGCCATACACCAACATGTACTGTGTAGTAGTAATATTTGTGAAATGTTTGTAAAGTCAAAAATGTCTATTAAACCACTAAACCTAAATATCAACCATTCTGTAGAATTTTACAGAGCTCAGTGAGTAGCACTTGGCTCAAACCTTCAAGGGTGGGGGCCTGGGCCTTGGCCCTTTTTTTGTGTAAAGTTTGCATGTTCTTCCTGTGTTTTGGGGGTTTCCTCTTGGTACTTCAGTTTCATTCAGCAATCCAAAGCTGTTGAATGGTTGGCATTTTTGTGTTTTACTGGAGTAAACAACCTCTAAGAAACCAGTAAACATTGCAATATCCTATTTGACTGCATTCAGGTCTAACTGCACATTTCATTCATTTTTTTAGGCCTAAAACAGGTTTTCAGTTGTGGCTTGAGGAAAATCGCAGTAGCCTCCTAGCAGAAAATCCAGACCTCGAAGAAACGGACATCATTAAGGAAGCAATGGGTCATTTCCGGACACTGACAGCAGAGGACCGATTGGTAGGGAACATTATGGAGGCATTGATATTTGATGCTGCATTTGTGCATCTGTTGTATGTACATTGCAAACTGACCTAAATGTTAGTTTTACTTGTTTGATCTAGAAGGTATTGAAAACAAATGATATGTTAATGCCCTTTAACAAATAAATAAAAAATCTGTATGGTGTAGTTCAATTTTCTGACTCTACATGATAGAGGTTATATAAACCTGCTTGTCATTTTTTAAACCACCTTATCCATCCTCCTTCCTAAAATGAAGCTCTAAATTTTCCTTAGTTGGGCCCTGTTGGTAAGTGTTGCAAAAATGTGTTTTCAGTCTCCTTTATGTGCACTGTGACCTTGCATTAAAAATGCCTATCAACAGGGAAAGGTGATAGATACTAGAGCCCCTGGCAAGTGGTGACAACCAAAATGGACCAGGGTTTACTTGTTGCTTGGAAACCCTGGGGAGAAGGCTGGGAGTAATGTTTATTGATCTTATGCTAATGATTGTTGGGGGGGGGGGGCAGCAAATTGGAGACAAGTAGACTGTTTCATCAGGGCTAAATAATAGAAGTGGGAGGTTTCTGCTAGTGAGCATTGCCATTGATATTTGAAGAGATAAGGATGAGTCATCGCTCAGCTGCATCCAATGGATTGATCATCCATAATTAGACTATACATAAAAATACTGCTAGGTTTAATTTTTTCAGTCGCAGTTAGTAAAAAAGGTTTCCATCTGCATTGTAAAGTCTGCATCTATGCACTAAATGTAATTGTTGCCCCACTTCTCTCCATAAAATTTCTAAGCAAAAGGATTCTAATTCATAAGAATGTCTTTTGCATATAAATAAAAATGAGTCTACATTTACCTATATGATTTTAACCTGTTTGTGAAATGTTTTTCTCTTCAGTCTTGGGCAGAAAGAGCAAAAGGGCAGACTGGAGAGGTGCCAGATGTCAAGAAGAGAGCGAGGGTAGAAGACAATGATGATTTCAGAAATGACAAGGAGAGCAATACCAAGAAGAAAAAGACCATAGACACTTCAAAGCTCTCTGCATTTGCTTTCAATAAAAACTGAGAACAGAACTAAAAATTCAGGTCACTTCCGTCATAAATTTGTAGTTCTTTTCCAAAGCATTCGGATTTTGTAGTACTTCATTTAATTTGCATATGTCTAGATGTGTAATTAGAAATTCAACATTTAATTATATAGTTTATAATTAAACATTTTCCACTGTATGTTAGTTGAATTGAACAAACTTTTTAATAAATGTAAGCAAAACATTGTGAAAGTGAATTCCTCAAAAAATATTTTAAGCTTATTACAACTACAAGTTCTGGAGTTTTTTTTTACTTGTGTAATTTGCTTATCACTCTTTATACCAACTGACTATATAAAATAAAATGCAGTATTGTGTGTGTGCTCCTCTGTTTATGTGATGATGTATATCACTTTTATTCAGCGCATATTAGTGAATAAATTGAGTAATTTGTAGTTAATTTCTAGGAAAAATTTTCAAAATCTGTTAGGTGTACAAATTAAATAGTGTATTTACTGATCAAAGATCAGTAACCTAGGGGTCGTTGCACCTGTGCCTGCATTTCTGGCATTAAAATGTTGTATATTAAGCTCTTACAATTTTTTTGCCTTTCAGACTTAAATTTTGCAGTCTTTAGAAAGCTTTGAACGTCATGTTACGATGGGCTATTTTGTTAAACAAAAGAGAAATGGCAAATTAAATGAAACATCCGTTCTGGTGTTCTCTATGATTGAATAGTATGTGGATTCATTTTAGAATTTACTGATAGGTGGTCACGTGAATTGCTTTAGTAACCAATAGTAATTCTTGTGGATTTGCGTGTCTTTATAAAGCCAGAGAACAACAGCCTGCACACGTTTTATTCTGAGGCAGCTCGCGCTTTGAACTGCAGCTCTTCTTATCAGGCAGCTGGTAAAACAAGGTCACATAAGATTATTTTATTCTTCTTTAAAACATAAACTAACGCATTGTCTAAAGTCTAAATGGAGCGTTCTAATCAGAATGAAAAGCTAGCCACTAACACGCAGAACAACTCTGTAAACGGTCATTTTGAAAGTGTGAAAAAAGTGAGGAGCCGGACTAGTGGTACTCCGGGAGAGACTGTCTCACGGGCATCCCCCCTCATGGAAAGCTGGAAGGAAGAACGCACGCGAAGTGTTGAAGACAACGAAACGAGCTTGCCGAGCATTGCTGCTGCCTATAGTACTATCCTCAGCGGTCTTGGCGAGGATCCCCTAAGACAGGGACTTCTTAAAACGCCTTGGCGAGCGGCGACAGCAATGCAGTACTTCACCAAAGGATATCAAGAGAAAATCATCGGTAAGTGAGCTGTCAGTGTATTGTACTTCACTTTCTGTGCTACACGCTAAAGGGCGTAAACTCGCTAATACTCTAAAAAGTAACTTTATAAATGGCTCAAAAGCATACATTCAGCCCAGACGTGTAGGATTGTGCACCCATGTTCCCATTGTTTTTAATTAGTACAAAACAGAACTATGAAATAGTAGAAGCAGCATGTTTCAACATGCATTACATTATGTACACATTTGAAAAATTAAGATTTTTTAAATGCAATGGGTTTTCAGGCCTAGAAAGGGAAACAATTTATAGGCTATTATTAAAACTAGTGTTATCGCTTAATTTTGAAATAAGACGGAAGATATTGTACACTTTACCTTATTTTTTCTGAAATCACTCACCTTTAGCAGGAAACATTGGGGGGAAAGGGTAACGTTGTCATGCTCCACACTCATAGAAAATTGTCTGGAGCAGTGTTATTTCATATTCTCCTGTTTTGGGTGGTATTTCTAGTGTCATGAACCTTTCATTTCTAGTGTTTAGACTTTTAATGTAACAGCATGTACTTAAATTTCAGATATTATTGAAAAGATTTTTGAAGGATGTATAAACTCAAATCAGGGGTGATTCTAGGATTTCACCCATACCAGCCCCCCCTCCCCCCATAATAAATATGGCATAACACCATATAAAAAATTTTTTTCTTTCTTCCAGGCAGACTGAGACAGAAAATAGGGGGGCTGAATAAATGGGGTTTAGAATGCCTATGACTCATACTGAAGCTGATGGCTTGATGTTTTTGAAAAAATGTGAAGTATGCTTTTTATTCCACAACTTTACCTGTTACATAATTACGCAGTTCTGAAACGCAGAATGCAAATCACTCAATATGCATTTTGGTATGTTATATATCACACAATAACATAATTATGTTTCTCCTATAGTCATCTTTTAGAAAACAGCAGAGTTCTAAACATCTTTTGTGGTGCTGTTAGACATCAGTGAGTCCATCTTGTTTATTACCATTTATTGACAATTTTTAACCAGCATTTAAGATGACACATTTTACTACATCCCCACCCCCATCTATAACACATCTGGAGCTTGTTTTTCAGTCTTAAATTGACTCTGTGAAAGCTAAAGGAATGTGGTAGTGCTTTGTTGTAAATCTATTGCATGTGGTAAAGCTCGATGTTAAAAATCCTACAAAAAGGGCCTAAATGTCTAAATAGAAAAAACATGTACGTCAGGGGAAAAAACATTTTTAAGGATGGATTGTTAGGAACGTCCTCTTCTGTTCATCTATGTTGCAGAATACTTTTTCTTTACATTGTCCATTTGCTAATATGTATTCAGAAGTATGGCAATGTGCTTATATGAGGTTCAGTTGGCCTTTTTAAGTGTGCCTTCTGAGCAGGAGAAGAAGGAAGCTCGGGATGTGCAGGAAATAATCATGTGTAGTTACGGTAACTGCAGAGCATCTGTATCTAGACATTCATTACATTTTTATAACATTCACTTCTCATGTAGATATACTTTTAGCAACAAGGAAAACAACAAGCTTAGAGGATTTACTGCATTACAAGCAATTAACCTCCTTCTGCAAAATTATTGATGTTTCTTTTCAAACAAATTAAAATAAAATACAATGTGTTTCAAAGAGCATATATGTATATATTGATCAATAATTTCACTATACTTGTGGTTTGACTGCCCCCCCCCCCCCCCCATCAAGCTGTTTTGTCTCTGTGAAGCATATGCTTTTTGAACTACAGAGAACACTCCCCTTTGTGAACAACACGCACTGTCTGGCTCTGACGTTTCGAAATTTTGAAGGGTTTCCATAGCAACTCATTGTCTTCCATGTGTATCTATCTGTGTGCGTGCGCATTAGGGGTGGTGGCAGGGATGAGAGATGACTCGAGGCAGTGCTGATTTGATTTCCTGTTCCCTTTATTGCATTGTTCTGACAGGTGAGAGGGGCTTGTTGATTTTTTTTTTGTCAGTGACAACAAAGGTGACAGCTTTTTCTTTGAATAGCTGCTGCTTTTTGTTAGAATGTGTTAAAAATATTATAACTGATTCATCAACCATCAGTAATAGACTGCCTAACTTAAAAAGTATTTCTGATCATTTTACATTTGAACTTAGGAAGACATAAAGTGACAAGCAAAAAATCATAATATTAATAGGTTGCTATCATAGTAAATAACCTGCTATTCCAAATTCCAAACTGTTAATAATAAATCAAGTGACATCCAAATGTAATTCATTTTAGTGTAAGGCCAATCATGATTGCATATTAATATTTGTAAAGTTTAATTCTTCTATCTCTAACTACTCTTGTATCTGTTCTGAAATACATAAACCAATTACTTTGGAAACCTTTAGATCTGAACAGATTCTTGAAGGACCTGTTTCACTGACCATGTTGCCCTGCAGTAGCAGGGAAGCCAGTCTGCTAGACATTATCCAAAATCAATCTGCTTGTTGTGTTTCCTTGGAAACTTCCTCTGCTGTGAGATAAGCAGCCAGGAAATTAAAAAAAAAACCTCAAACTGTAAAAACCTCACCCTCAACAGATAAAACAGACTTATTTGAACAACCGTGTATGATCAGAGGAAAAAATCTCATATATAATATAAGATATATTAGGGCTGTCAAAATTAACAGGTTAACGCGGATTAATCCATCATCATGATTAATCTGATTAAAATTTTTAACGCAATTAACCCATCTGTAGCGCAGAATGACTCAAAATTCCTGAAATGTCTCTGTCAACCCATTTCGGGCAGTTTTGGAGCGTTCCATTTGCCCTCGGAACTCGTATTCCAAGTCGGATTCCGGAGTTTTGAAGCCGGAAGTAACGACATGCGCGAAACATGATCCCGAGTTCAGAATCCAAGATGGCTGCGCCCTTTATCAACAGAAGGGAAAGTTGTAGTTTTATACTGTTTAAGCACTACTTCTCATTTGTGGCTCATTAAATCAGTCGCACACACTATACCGTCCAACTTATCTGTGGACGTGTTGCTACGGAGTTTTATACGTAAAGCACCTCATGTAATGTGTTATCAACTGATATTGCTAACAATGGCAATTAACTGGGCTAGAATTGGATTTCTTGATTAGTTGGATTATTTGTCGGATTTACGGTAGTTCGGGCTAATTGTAAGTGAGCGAAAATAAAGACCATTTAAACTGAGGTACCTTAAATCCGATGTTGTCCAGCTAAGCAAAAAATCTTGCTTTTTGATATGGGTCCATGGTATATTGCACTCCTGTGGCAGATGATATGCATACGACTCGTGTTCAAGATGTTCAATAAACATGTTAAGTGCATATATATTCCCTTTTTTCTTGAGTCGGTTTGCTCATGCAAAATGAAATGCAATTAATATAGATTAAAAATGAATATTCAATCGTGATAAATCGAAATTAATCCACAGCAACCCTGTGATTAATCTGATTAAAAATCTTAATCGTTTGACAGCACTAATATATATATATTAGGGCTGTCAAAATTAACGGGTTAACACAGATTAATCCATCATCATGATTAATCTGATTAAAATTTTTAACACAATTAACCCATCTTCAGCGCAGAATGACTCAAAATCCCTGAAATGTCTCTGTCAACCCATTTCGGGCAGTTTTGGAGCATTCCATTTGCCCTCGGAACTCGTATTCCAAGTCGGATTCCGGAGTTTTGAAGCCGGAAGTAACGACATGCGCGCTCCCGTTTCTCAGAGAGCCGAGAAATATCTCGGAGCAGCACAGAGGATCCCGAGTTCAGAATTCAAGATGGCTGTGCCCTTTATCAACAGAAGGGAAAGTTGTAGTTTTATAGTGTTTAAGCACTGCTTCTCATTTGTGGCTCATTAAATCGGTTGCACACACTATACCGTCCAACTTATCTGTGGATGTGTTGCTACAGAGTTTTATACGTAAAGCACCGCGCAAAATGTGTCATCAACTGATATTGCTAACAATGGCAGTTAACCGGGCTAGAATTTCATGATTAGTCGGATTATTTGTCGGATTTACGGTAGTTCGGGCTAACTGTAAGTGAACGAAGATAAAGACCATTCAAACTGAGGGACCTTAAATCTGACAAGTTGTCCGGCTAAGCAAAAAATCTTTCTTTTTGATATGGGTCCATGGTCAGGGGCGCCGTAAGGGGGAGGAAAGCTAGGACGATTCCAAGGGCCCCTGAGTGACAGGGGCCCTAAAAAATTAGGAAAATAACTGGATTTGTTTGGACTGGGGGGCCTAATATGATATGCTTTCATGGGGCCCAAAATCTCTAGCAACGCCCCTGTCCATGGTATTGCACTTCTGTGGCAGATGGAATGCATCCGACTCATGTTCAAGATGTTCAATAAACATGTTAAGTACATATATATTCCCTTTTTTCTTGAGTCTGTTTGCTCATGCAAAATGAAATGTGATTAATATAGGTTAAAAATGAAAGATATTTAATCGTGATTAATCAAAATTAATCCACAGCAACCCTGTGATTAATCTGATTAAAAAATTTTATCGTTTGACAGCACTAATATATATATATATATTCTTAAAAGAAGTGTTGATGTCACCTTGCAGACCCTGTCTTCTATTTATTTAATATCATACTACTTTGTTTTTGTAGGTGTTTTTAACAACTTTGAAATGGTGAACCAGCTATTTTCCCCCTTTTTTCCAGACATACTGAACGATGCCATTTTTGATGAGGATCACGATGAGATGGTGATTGTAAAGGACATTGATATGTTCTCCATGTGTGAGCATCACTTGGTCCCAATATTTGGCAGGGTAAGACATTAGTACAATAAGTGCTGCTTATCACTTGATAGGAAGCAATACATTTGAAGCTAAACACATTTTTGCTGTTTATGACATTGTATGCTGATTAATTTATTAAAGAATGAATTTAATCCATATTATAGTGTGGCTATTATGTACCAAAATGTGGGAACAATCTAATCTGAATACTTTCTGATGCATGGTGTTCTACAATTTCAAATTGGGGATGGGACTCAGCCACTGATTCAGTCTTTGAAGTAGTTCCTAATTAGACATGGGGTCTAAACTGACCTCCTCCTAATATGGTTAATGTCCATATGGCCATGACGTTCTATTGTCAACACACAGCTCTTTAAAGATCTATGAGTAACTGTGCATTTACTGCAGGCAAATGTCACTGCCACATGTGTTTTTGAATGTTGTTTTTAATTTAATTGTATCTATTTTTTAACCCTTCACAAATTGACACCTTATCATGATGAATGGGATTTTGTGTGCCTCTGTGATCCTAGAAGATATGTCAGGAGTAATTGCCCCTGGCAGGGTCTCACTAGGCAAATTGGTGAGCAACAAGACTAAGTATGATTTGCATAGACCCATATGATGATTAAGAACATGAACCAGAATTATGGAAACCAGGGCCCCAGAGGGCTCACAGGCGAGCTCCTGGTGGTTAGGCTGCTACCCATGGCCGGGCAAAGCCCAAAAGAGTTGCATGGGTCCACCCTCCTGTGGGCACAGTTTGGAGTGCATTAACCTGCTTATATACTGTAAATACTACAGTTACTACATATTTGGCTTACACAATTGTACATAAAGACTGGTCTTTGGGCTTAGTAACAATTTTGAACTACAACTAGCTTATATAAATTTCAGTAGTTTTAGAAGAACCTTTAATGGTATCAGTAGTTTGTGTTTTTAGTAGTGGGTCTGATGTTAGTAGGCTAGCCTACTGTCACGGTTCGCGGGTGAGCGAGTAGGGAAGCAGGCGAGCAAGCCAGGACTTCAGGTAAAGCTGGGTTTAATGCACAAGACACGGACATCGACGGACAATACAATGACCAGTCTGGGGAAGACTGACTCAGACGAGGACTAAATACAAAAGACAAGCTAGACTTAATAGGACACAGGTGATCACAATAGGGCTGAACACGAGGTAACGAGGTGGGCGTGGCACACATCAGGAGCGGACGGAGCGGGGCGTGACAGAACCCCCCCCCAAAGGCGCGCACACCGGGCGACGGACGAGACGGAACAGGACCTGGAAGACAAAAGCAAAAACATCAAGGAGACACCGGAAACAGGACA